TTGGTCATGTCCAGCATGAGAGCAATTACAGGAGTTTTTCTATCGATCTCTCTGCTATATCTTTAATATAATTGAAGCATGCTAAAGTCGTGGATCTGTTTTTGCGAAAACCGAATTGATCTTCAGTTAAGATACCAAATTTTTGTATAAATTTACTTAGTCTATCGTACATAGTTCTCTCAAATATCTTTGATATTACGGGGATCAAAGTTATTGGTCTATAGTTATTGAGATCTTTTTCATCTTCTTTTTTGTGAACTGGTTTTATTATAGAAATCTTAAGACGTTCCGGGAATGAGCCCTCGACAAATGATAGGTTTATAAGGAAACTCAGTGGTGTACAGATATAACAGGCACATGACTTTAGTATTTTGGTACTGAGTTCGTCGTAGCCAACTGAATTCGTGTTTTTTAATTCTTTGATTATTTTCTTAATTTCAGCTGGTTCCGTTGGTTGTAAGAAAATTGTATTTGGATTTGTACCTATATTTGGTTGAGCAGAATTGTTACCAGACTTATTTGTATTATTGACGTAACTATCTGACGGTCAATAAAAAATTGTTAAATAATTCACAATGCCAGGGTTACTAATTGTTTGGTCATTAAATTTAATTACGTCATTGTCCACACCTAGGCGACCCCCAACCGCTAATTGATGAGAGAGAGATGATGAATTTTATTAATTTGGGTAGTTTCATTTATACTTGAATTTACTGAATTCCAAACAGCTTTGCAAGTATTTTTACTATTAAGAATGTATTTTAAGTTGGTTTTTTGTTGAGCTTTATATATGCACTTTTTCAAAAGATAGTTATATTTTTCGTATTTATTTTTATTTGACATTTATGACATTAGTTTTTGAGTATTTATAGGTTAGGTAAAGTTTTCTTTTCGTAATACTTGACTTTTTATACCTTTTGTTTTCCACCTACCTCTATTACACATGTTGTTTCTCGTAAGTTTAATTATAGGAAAGCAAAGTCCGTGAAATAGAGTTAACAAGTTATGGAATGATCTATAGGCCTCATCAACACTGGTCTGATCGTACACTTCCGAGAAGGAGAGATGCGATAGACAGTCAGAAAACTTTTGAATGTTTTCTTTACTGTAGTCTCTGCAAAATTCATGCCAGGTTGTTACAGTACATTTTCTTTGAATTTGAAATGATATGGCTTGACCTGTTTCATAGTCTGATAATGCCAGAAATAGAAATAGAAATAGAAATAGAAACTTTTTTATTCAATGTAGATTATAAAAATACTTATTGAAGGTCACTTTTTTAATTTACCACTGGTTCGCAAAAAAAAAACCTCTGTCCTGGGAAGAACCAGCAAGAAACCCAGCGGGACTATTTTTTTCCAATAATAGCTTACAATCATGTTTACAATCAACAACACAAGACAAATTAGAAATAGCTTGGTAGCGATCACCCTTCCCAGGGGTTATTATCATCTATAAATTCCTTAATATTATAATAACCCTTTTTATACAAACTTAGTTTAATAACATTTTTGAACTTTGTGTATGACAAATTTTGTATATTTTCTGGGATTTTGTTGTAAAAGCGTATACATCGCCCCAAGAATGAATTACTGACTCGGTGGAGTCGAGTAACTGGTACTACCAGCTTGTGTCTGTTCCTAGTATTTACAGAATGAATATCACTTATTTTCGCAAAACTACTTTTATTTTTGTGTACGTACATTACATTTTCATAAATGTATTGAGAGGCCAGAGTTAATATATTAATTTCTTTAAATTTTTGTCTCAGTGACTCTTTTGGTTTTAAATTATATATTGCTCTAATGGCCCTCTTCTGTAAAATAAATATAATTTCAGTGTCAGTCGCGTGTCCCCATAGCAAAATACCATACGACATAATGCTATGGAAATAACTGAAGTAAACTATTCTAGCTGTTTCAACACTGGTAAGAGTTCTAATCTTTTTTTACAGCATATGCTGCAGAACTAAGTCTGCTAGCTAGTTTTGATATATGGGGGAGCCATTGAAGCTTTGCGTCCAGTGTGATTCCAAGAAAAATGGTGGTATCAACAAGACTCAGTTCCTCCCCATTTAAAATTACATTAGTATTGACATGTTTAACATTAGGAGTTACGAATTTCATACATTTAGTTTTAGTTCCATTCAAATGCAAATTATTAACATTAAACCAATTGAATAACTTAGCTATAGCATTATTTACTTCGTCGTAATTTAATAACTGTCTTTTTAATTTGAAAATTAATGAAGTATCATCAGCAAATAATACTATATCATGGTTATCCCCTACTATGTAAGGTAAGTCATTAATATATACAAGAAACAGAAAGGGGCCAAGAATTGAGCCCTGAGGCACGCCCATTTGTACAATCGACCCAGAAGAACTCATACTATTAATAACAACTTTTTGTGTTCTGTCACTTAAATATGAAATAATTAATTTAAGAGCATCATTTCTTACACCGTAGTGTTGAAGTTTCCTGATTAATGTTTCATGGTGAACACAATCAAAGGCCTTGGATAGGTCACAGAACAAACCCAAAGCATCCTGTGAATTCTCCCATGCATTAAATATATATTTAATCAGCTCAACACCAGCATCAGTTGTCGAGCGACCCCTTGTGAAACCAAATTGATTTTTATGAAGTAATTTATTTACATTAAAAAAAATTAACAATTGATCAAGAATAATTTTTTCAAAAATTTTACTAAGTGTTGGCAGTACAGAAATAGGTCTAAAATTAGCGGGGTCCAATGTACTACCAGATTTAAATAAAGGTATTACTTTACTATGCTTCATTAAATCAGGAAACACACCAGATTTGATACTACTATTAAAAATAATAGATAGTTGAGGTGCGATTGTATCTATTATAGACGCAATAACTTCAACAGAAATCCCCCACAGATCGGCGGTTCTCTTAATATCAATAGTCTTAAAATATTTTACAATATCTTTTGATGAAACTTTATGAAATGTAAAATTCTTTGTACACACATTTACATTTTGTTTAAGTAATGATTCGGCGACGGTAGGAGAAGAATTCAGTGACTTAGTGGTTAAGGTCGGAATATCAGTAAAATATTTCTCAAAAACCATTGCAACGTCCTGATCTGATTTAGTTAATTTATTGTTAAAACTTAACTGGTAGTTTGAATTGCGAGAGTTGACCTTACCAGTTTCACTATTAATTATACTCTACCTACCTACCAGGTTTAAGATCTCGGCATCTACCTTGCTCATATTGCTGGCTACTTGATCAATACATGCATTTTTCCTAGTAGGTATTTTAATGTGGATAGATATATTGTAACTTTCTAATATTTCAAATAGCTCGTACGTATTTTTTCCTTCTTTGAGGATATCTATATTCCAATCGCCACATAATATATATTTTTTGCACGTTTTTTGTTTGTTAAATGATATAAAAGCTCATTTAATTTGTAAAAAAAATAGATTAATATTGCTCTCCGGTGTTCTATAAATGCAAATAATGGTAAGGTTATATTGCGCGATTTCTATTTCACAACATTCGAAGTGGTAGGGACAAGCAAGTTGGTTAGTAATATCAATAGGTTTGCATTCCAATCCTTTTTTACTGAGAATACAAACGCCACCCCGTCTCTGTTTCGGCCGACAGAACGACGCAGCCAACCTATATCCGTTTAAATTCAAATTGGCCTCGCAATAGATTTATAAGATTGTGATAATTCTGTTAGCGTCAAGTCTATAATGTCAATTTTATTTAGTACACCAGCTATATTTTGATGAAGAAGTCGAAAAGAGTTGTGTTTATTGTCGTTCCAAACGAAAAAGCTCATCAATGTCTTTTTGTGTACAAACGTATTTTTTTTACTGTCTTAAAGTAGTATGGAATCGTGCCTTTAGAAGGTTCCACTTTTTTTTTAATAGGGATTGAGCCATTATTAACCGTTTTATGTTTTCTAAGAGTTTTAAAATAGAAAGGAATGGTGCCTAGCTTTGCGGTTATATTGGTTTCCAGTGACCTTTTTTTTTTTTTTGCATGGGGAAATGCCTACGCATACCCGCCTCGCGAGGGCAAGGACGGGTTATGTCGGGCTCGCACCGACTAAAACCCCATGGTGTTCCACCTTTGTCGCATATTGGCAGGGCTACGGGAACGCTTTCGCACACATCTGCGGCCCTACTAGCGCCTGCCGCCCCATGGCAGCACCTCCTCGGCAGAGAAAAATTCCTCCCCGTTCTCCTTCCCAGGTAAGGCGCACCAGAACACATGGCGCGCCTTCCTCCACGGCCTCCAACTACGTCTGTGCAACAGACGCCCCCCGCGTCCGATGCACAAAGGCCATGGGGCCAGGAAAAACGAGCACTTAGAAGTACTAGCCTTCCCGACCCCATCGGCGGATCTGGTCTATGGCTCCGCCGCCAACCAAGATTCGGCTGCGGAGGGTAGGGAGAGCGGCGCCTCGCAATACCGACAATCCTCTCCCCCCGCAGCCCCACCACCACCGCATCAACGGTGCGGCCCCGTTTGAGTCGCGAAGGATAGGGCGAGTGGCGCATCGCCATACCAACACTCCTCTTCCTCCGCGACTCCACCTCGGCTGCAGCGGTAGAGGGTGCGCGAATCCCCACTCGCTGCAGTCCACCAGCACGCATCCGAAGTGGGCTCCCCAAGCCCACTCGGAGCGGCCACCTCAGGCCGGCCCCTCACCTCGGGCCAGCCACGTGGGTTCCTCTTTGTTCACCGTGGGAGACCAAGCCACGGCTACTAAGCCCCCCGCCACGACAAGGCGGGAACCCGTTCGGGGGGGAGGTTTCCAGTGACCTGCAGTCAGCTTTTGGTATGCCATTGTTATTTTTTGAATTACATAGGAAATACTTTTTGTAGTCAATTGTGTCTATCACATTATTTACTCTACGATACGGATATATACAACTGTAACTTAAATCTAGGTAGTTGACATTTTTGAAACACTTTAAAATAGTTTGAATATGGGAATTGAGTCTTTTTACATTAAGATACGGGTTTTCAATTACACTGGTCACTAATATTTTTGCCTTATTTTGTCTCTTAAGTAATGACGACAGCTCCACGCCTATTTTAATTGGGTTCGAGTCATTGGATCCTAGACATAGAGCAAGCCAGTCGTCTTCTTGTAGTTCTTCAATCATAATTTTAGAACACTGAATTACATGTTCAATGCTTGTATATGGATATACTATTCCACTGACAAAATATTTCTTTGGATTTTTGTAATTAGATCTTGTTTGCGCCAAAGATGTCGCCATGTTCCGTGCTGTTTGATTGCCAATAATAACAATTCTCTGGCTTTGTTCATTGAAAGATACTGTGGATGTCGTCTCTTTGGAATTGTTTGTCTTATTTCCTTTGTCCCAGGTAAAGTAGTTGGTTCAGAGTTTGCTATATCATCGTCACAGGGAGTGATATTGGGGAGGATGCTAGAGCAATATTTCGAAGTGATCTGTGCTTGGTTTTGACAGATTTCGATTGCGTCAACTTTAGTGGACTAGGCTCGGAAAGTAGTTGTTTAAATATTTTGCTCTTTTTTTTTGTTGGCTTTCTGTTATCTTTTAAAGGTTGGTCACCCGTATATTTAATCGTTCAATTTCCGCATGGGTGCTAGCTAATTGAGTCTTAAGCAGGTTGATCTCTTCAATAAGTTCTGAGTAATCATCAACTGATAAATTTGGTAAACTTTTCGGCGTGTCTTCAAGTAACGTTGACGAGGTATTACTCGCATAGTCCTCGGTTAAGTTATGTGCCAATTCCTCCGAGGAGACGTGAAGTCTAGTTTTTTTGTGGTTTCTCTTTGTTACATAATAGTTTTCATCTGACAAGTTGGAGCTTATATTACTACTATTTTGTGGTGTATTTACTGCTTGTTTTGAGACGGACAATGGTCCCGCTTTTGTTGCAGAAGAAGTTTTATTTATGCATTTATCACATCTCCAGCTCTTTTTCCTCTCTGCATCCATGATATTAAATCGATAAACTGGAACGTTAGTGCATACCAGGTCAGGTTGCGCTTACATTGTTAACAAGATAGGTGTTCACGTCTGGTAAGTAAGGTTTTGCATTTGTCAAAACTTTTCTTAATGACATTATATTTGCTCAGATTTTTAAAGAGTATTGTGGATAAACCAATTGAGCACTATTTAAATATCAATTAGAATCTTAATAGAACTACAAATTCAGATATCAATTGAAATAAGAAGTTAGGAATAAATACGTAAATTTGATGTCGAAATAACTTTCAACATAAATTATGAAAAAGATCCGCTAAATGCTGCGATACGAACTCACGATCTCTCGTGCGGTACAAGTGTTTATAGGCAAATACCACCAGTATGACTTTTGCTTATAGTATTGAAATTTTCGAGTAATTGCTGCTTAATGTTATTTAAAATGTACCGAGATCGTTATTATGATTTATGCTGCAAAAATTTATTGCTTAGTCGATGTTAATCACTGATATTATTTTTTATTATTTTGTGAATATGGTAATGTTTTTTGTCACTGTATACGATCACTTTTCGCTGCGTTCACTGTGTTCTTACTTTTTTGTTTAGTTCTTATTACTTTCACTAGTACTTTTAGCAGAATAAATATATTTCTGAAATGGTTATTTTTATGTATAAATGAATCACAATTGCGGAAATAACAATGTCACTATAACTTATTTAGAGTTTTTGGTACAGTAAAGTAAGAATTTCACTGGTTTTACAATTTTAAATTATTTTTTATCACGGACTCGACGTTAACATGTATATCGCTTGCTGCGGACTTATTGTGAATATCTAACCCTCTTGTCCTTTGCAATAAATCAATGGGTATTGCAGAGCGTCATAAAACTTGTGCGTATGGGCTACCCGTTGCAACGTATCATCACGTGCTCGCAAGACAATGTCTCGTGAAGAAAATTGATCACCACTAATAACGGCTGCTATTTCGTTTATCAAAGGTGCATTGTAGCGTCTTTCATGCTCTTCTCGAGGGGTTCGATCTGCGTGAATGACGACTTTATAATCCTCTTCAGGTAGATTTTCCAAAGCAGTTTTAAATGTTTTGACAAAAATGTTACGTTCATGCAAGAATCTTTGAATTTTGAACACTGTGTGTCTCTCAACTCCCTGCGCAAATTGGCAGCGACGGTCTACCTCAATTTCTTCGTCACCTATAAAATATACTTCTAAAAATTTATGCTGTTCATTTTCAGCTGGAAAAAGTGAGCCTATTCTATGATAAATTTGCCCTTGCACTGTAAATGTAGGTGAAAATCCCAGCATTATTATTTCCCGGTCAACTCCGAAGGACGTCATTTGAAAGCATGAGTTATATTTCCAGATCCTGTATAAAAAGCTCCGTGACTCATTAGCATCATATAAAAAGAGAGTTTTCAAAGGTTCTTCTGGTTCCCCAAGTAACAGAAGAGACATTTTGCCATTGGAACAGCATATTCATGCGGTCTCATCTTTCCATTTTAAAGCGCTGCAAAATCGACAAGCCTTGTCTATCAGTCCGATAACAACTAACCTGTGATTTTTATAATCAATCAACGGAACATAATTGTATGCTGCGTCATTAAAAACCGACCAATTGTTTCTTTGAAAATTTTGTCGACGTTCAGCTTGGAGCTGTGCATTTGCATCTCTTCGCGCCTGTGTCTGTTCTGGTGTTTCAGATGCCCTTATAGTAGATTGAGGTTCAGCTTGCTCAATGAGTCTGTGTTGAGTTTCATCAGGTGTTTTCGCGGCTCTTAAGGCGGCCTGACGTTCCGCTTGTTCTAATAGCTTTTGCTGACTTTGAGCAGGTGTTTCAATAGCTCCTAAAGTAGATTGACGCTCTGCCTGTTCAAGACGCCTTTCCTGACTTTGAGAAGGTGTTTCGGAAGCTCTTAAAGCAGCCTGACGCTCTGTCTGTTCAAGATGCCTTTGCTGACGTTGAGAAGGTGTCTCAAATGCTCTAAAAGCAGCCTGACGCTCTGCTTGTTCATGCCTTCTCAGTTCAGCATCTTCTAAAGATTCTAGCGATCGTGCTAACCTTTTCGCTTCTCTTCGAGAAGATACTCTTGAAAGGCTGGAATTACGTTTGCGAGGCATTATGAAGTAATAAAAAATCTGTGGCAGCGCTGTCGTCGCGCCGCAAGCGAAACACACCGAAGCCTAAATCACGCTATCAACATTCCGAATCATAAACAGCATATATAGAACATCTCCGAACTATCACACGGAGCGTTGGCCGCTCCCCGGGCAGAACACCTTGCCCGGCGGGAGATCTCCCCTTTTCCTTCCACGGCGACAGTGGTGACCCCGAAGTGATCTGAACACGCAACCCAAACACCTTCGGAAACTACAACTTCAAGCCTTCGTCATTATCCTCAAGAAAACCCCTACTGAGAATCGTCTTCTGCAGTATTCAGTTCCTGCAAGCCAGTCCAACTTGTCTTCATCTCGACTCACCGCAGATTTATAAGGCAGACTTCTGGCACTTGCTCCGGCACATCGTTCGCACCGGCATCACTTGCCAGTGCGTAGTACGGCATGCATTACACATCGGCATATTATTCGCACCGGTGTCACTTGCCCTTACGCACACTGCATGCATTCCCCACCGGCATTGAAAAGGACACACCGACAATCGGACTGCACTATCGACCTCCGGTCTCAGCAGGGGGGTGATGTGGCAGCATTGTCGTCGCGCCGCAAGCGAAACACACCGAAGCCTAAATCACGCTATCAACATTCCGAATCATAAACAGCATATATAGAACATCTCCGAACTATCACACGGAGCGTTGGCCGCTCCCCGGGCATAACACCTTGCCCGGCGGGAGATCTCCCCTCTTCCTTCCACGGCCATAAATCTATTTATACAAAAACGTTAAAATACCTAAAAGGAATTAAATTTCCTTTTAAATATTTTTTTTAAAAGCAACTACAAAATATCTAAAAGGAATAAATATTCCTTTTAAATATTTTTTAAAATCAAAACAACAAAACCAAGTCAAGACACAACACGAATCCGAAAACGATAGCCAAAAAAAAATCGAATCAACTTAAACCAAATCACAAAACAAATCGCAGAAAACCGAAATCGAAAGCAGTAGTCAATATAAATATAACCAACGAAAAAAGAAGTAAGTGTATAGGTACCGTATACACTATCTATACTATTAATATTCCTTAGAAATATTGTTAAACAACCTAAAACAACGAAAACCAATTCACGATTCTAAATAAACAAAATCCAAAATCAAAGCCAGAGTCTAAATATGTATAAAGGAATACCAACCAAATCAACAAAACCGATCCAAGAAAATACACAAATCCGAAAATGATAGCCAATATAAATCCATTCAACCTTAACCAAATCACAAAGCAAATAACAAACAACCGAAATCGAAAGCAGGTAGTCGAATAAGCTACGAAATAGAAACAATTTAAGCGTATAGGTACCGTATGCACTAAACCGGTTGACACGCGGCTCAACGGCGGGAGTTAAGTACGAAATGTTTCCTTCGTTACCACGTTTTAAAAACCTAGTAACGACATCTAGCGGAATCAATTTAAACTATGTATACGTTAGTTAATAAGAACTCTCAAAAATATTTTTCTTATAATTTTGCACAATTTTTCTTATTGTAATACCGATTCATTCATAACCACATATAAGAACTGTATTCATTTCCGTTCAATAGGCAAAACAAAAAAGAATATTACTAAGGCTTATTAATAAGGCTTACTAAGAACTGTTTCCACCACAGTTAAGTAATAGTTAAGGTTGAAAGCGTGACAGGTGGTGATAGTATTTCTGATCCATACTCATAATCACGCCTGTAACCCTTGCGGGATAGGCAGAACATCAACGGATTACTTAATATCGTCTGCGAGGTTATCGCCTATTCTGTGAATTATAATGCACCAAAACGTTTGAAGAAAATAAGCTGGTGAATTTTATGTTTTTTATCGCTCTGTTCCCGGTCCTGCGTGGAAAAATACAGATCCATACATTTTTTAAAAAGTACATACAGTTGTAAAAATACATAATAATCCAGATATTCTGAACTTCTGTGTTCGTCCATCGTACCGTCGTCCGTCTTGTAGAATCACGGTGGCGCCACCTAGCTGAATTTAGTTTTGCAACATATTCTATTTTCCCACGGGAATGAGATGTTTTTCCGCGAAAAAAGTAACCTATGTCACGCTACAGCCACCGAACTATCCCCATACAAAAAATCATGCCATACCGACGCTCTGTTGCGACGTGAAAGAAGGACAAACAAACAAACAAACACACTTTCGCATTTATAATATTAGTATGGATTATGTTATCGTCTACGGAAAACGATAATTGGTATAGCTCTACATACATTATTCTTTATCACTTACGCTTCTTACCGCATAATGTAGTAAAGGATTGGTGAGAAAAGCGGTCATTCAAAGATTGCATTTGAGAAATTTGAACGTTGTTATTTCTATTTTAATGTCTCATTTGTGTATTTTATTAACGTTAATATATAGATTTAATACCAAATCAAGGACCAAATATCTATGAAATAATATAAATATATATTTTAAAGAAATTAAAAAATTTCCCTCCTTTTCCTTCCCCCCCATTAATATTTTTTTTTTTTTTATAAAATAACGATAATTTTTTTTTTCCTTTTTTTAAATGCACCCCCTGGTTTTTTTTTTTTTCCCAAAAAGAGTCAACACACACACCACCGAAAAATTATTTTTAATTTATTAAAAAAAAATATGTCAGTTACTTTTATAATGATACAACAGAAACTTTTTACACGGTAGAGCCATGCTGCAGCTATATTACTGGTATAATTGTAGCACGAATGGCTCGAATGGGGAAAGACTACGTTCACACAGCGTCAAATAGCAGCTTAACGCTGCTGTGTTGTGTTTGGTAAGTGTAGAGAAACGGAGACCATTTTTACTGGAAACGAGGCATTTCATCTTAGTCCTCATGGGTGACAACGCATCTGCATTTTGATTCGTTATCAAGGATATATGTAGACGTCTATGGGTCACAACAACCATTTACCATCAAGTGGAATGTGTGCTCGTTTGCCACCCTTGTACTATAAAAATGTCACTTTAAAAAAGAAATATACCGTTGCATTATTACATATTAAACCGTGTAGTGGCGGTACAACAATATCCCCTACCCCATATTATTCCATGGGTGTTGTAAGAGATGATAAAGGTAAACTGGAACATGAGACGAGCATCAGCATCTTTCTGATAACAACTCAAAACTACAATAACTGCGCCCGTCAACTACGGCAAACAATTGACGAATTAAAAAAGAAGACAAAGCTGTTCAACACGTGGCATATGTACTTATAGAGAATTACTTACAAATGCTGGCGTAAGAGGGGCGACTATGGATCCGATTCTACCCATCATGGAGGAGAACGCGAACAGACTGTGACGATACTTGGTGGGGAAGAGCTCCGCCGTGTACACGTACACTGACGTCATAACCACGGCAATGCTGTATTTGCCGATCAAGTAGAGAGTCAGAGATACCGCATAGAAATCTGGAATAGATATAAAAATAGCAATGTAAAAGTTTATTTAAAAAAAGTTATGGTGAGTGTAGAGATCCGGAGACTTTTTTACTGGAAAAGAGGCATTCCATCTTAGTCCTCAGGGGTGACAACGCATCTGCGTTTTGATTCTTAATTGAGGATAGATGTAGATACCTATGAGCTACAGCATCCACTTACCATCGGGTGGACTGTGTGCTAGGTTAAGTGTGTGTTAGGTTCATGGCGAGATTCTAACTCGAAAATGTTATAATGTCATGGTGTTCAAATTTACAAGGAAATAATTGCGGATAAGTTTTCATAATATATATTAAGATAATCAATCAATCAGATTTACATTATTAAATGTCATAACGTTGTGACATGAAGAGACAATTTTTAATCATGGTATATGAGCTTACAATAAGGAAAAATCTAATATTAATATTGAGATAATCACCATCGGATTCACAATATGAAATGTCATAACGTCGTGACATGATGAGACAATTTTTAATCGCGGTATATGAGCTTACAATAAGGAAAAATCTAATATTAAAATTGAGATAATCACCATCGGATTCCCATTATGAAATGTCATAACGTCGTGACATGATGAGACAATTTTTAATCGTGGTATATGAGCTTACAATAAGGAAAAATCTAATATTAATATTGAGATAATCACCATCGGATTCACATTATGAAATGTCATAACGTCGTGACATGATGAGACAATTTTTAATCGTGGTATATGAGCTTACAATAAGGAAAAATCTAATATTAATATTGAGATAATCACCATCGGATTCACATTATGAAATGTCATAACGTCGTGACATGATGAGACAATTTTTAATCGCGGTATATGAGCTTACAATAAGGAAAAATCTAATATTAATATTGAGATAATCACCATCGGATTCACATTATGAAATGTCATAACGTCGTGATATGATGAGACAATTTTTAATCGTGGTATATGAGCTTACAATAAGGGAAAATCCAATATTAATATTGAGATAATCACCATAGGATTTTATCATTATTAAATGTCATAACGTCGTGACATGTCGAGACAATTTTTAATCATGGTATATGAGCTTACAATAAGGAAAAATCAATAATATTTAGATAATCACCATAGGATTTAGATTATTAAATGTCATTGACATGACGAGAAAATTTTTAATCGTGGTATATGAGCTTACAATAAGGAAAAATCTAATATTAATATTGAGATAATCACCATCGGATTTAGATTATTAAATATCATAACGTCGTGACATGACGAAATATTTTTTAATCGTGGTATATGAACCTACAATGAAGGAAAATCCTTTGAAGAAACCTACGTACATAAGACCAGAACCCATACATATTTCCGTGCTTAAGAATAAAAATGCCAACAAGCAGTTATGAAGAAGAAAAAAGTTTGTCGACTCTCAATGTAGACAAATATCACGGCAAAGTTGTAACGATATGTTAGCAATATCATAAGCCAGAATTCTATTATCAAATTATAGTATATTTGCTAACTTATAAAAAAACGAAATAAATAGGTTTGTTGCCAGTTTTACTGTATTCTTTTGACTTTGAGTAAGTCAAAGTAAAGTACCCATGACTTTTACACCGAATATTCAATGTATTTGCAACTACTTAAAAATATAATTTAAATGATTTGTAAATGATGGTACCATAAGGCGAAAATGTCGGTTTTATAGTGGTTAAATAAAATATAAGCGAAACAAGTACATTTTTTCAAACCAAATCATAAATGATAATTCGTAATAGTCAAATGTAATATAACTTACTTTCTGGCATGAAAATATATCCAATCTGACACGCGGCGCAGGCCCAGAAAGCTCCAAACAGCACAGGCTTTCTTCCAATCTTCCCCAACAGTAGCACTGAAGTCCAGTATCCAGGGATATCCGCCGCCGACACCGCAATATAGTTCAAGTACCGGTTGCCGGACATGTTTATTGAATTAATTGACAATCCGTAAAAAATGAAAGTTGTCGTGATCCACCACACTGGTGAAACAAGGCAACGAGTTAAAATCTTTTTATGACGGAACACTAGAACGATCAACCAGGGTTCATTAGCTCTAGCTGCTTGTTCTGTGGCTTGGTGTATTTTCTCTTCTTCAGCGGTTCTCCTCAATGCTACCAACGATGTTTCAGACAGCTCTTTCTTATTTACCCGAGCAACTTCTTTTATTATTGCTTCGGACTGCTCGTATCTACCCTTACTCATATACCAGCGGACGGACTCCGAAATAATCCAAAAGTAGGAGATGGTAAGGAATTGCGGAATGTAAAGCGCAAGAGTGAAATTCCTCCAGTTGGGCACACCCCACGCAATCAGACCCATTAGAATTTGACCGATGGAAAAGAAAGTGTTCATAGAGGCTCCCGCAGCTACACGATATTTTGGTCCCACCAGTTCCATCACTAGAAAAAAAGTTAAGTTTATTTTTTTGACATTATTGTGCTATTTGTTTTGTTGAGAATGAAACACAGCTTGGTGTTTGACTTGCAGGTTTAATCTCTCTCTTCACAGCTAAACACTTAAACTTAAACACTTGTACTCGTTTCACAATATTTATTTATCTATATAAATAAATAAAATTAAAGTATCTGTTTATGAAGTCAAAATAGCAACTTTTTACTAAATGATTATGATAGTATATACGGTACTTATAACAAAAACATAACTATTATAATTGTTTTAAATTTATTTATTAATTGTTAATTTATCTGTCTGTTTGTTTGTTCCGGCTGATCTCCGAAACGACTGGACCCATTTCGACGGAACTGTCACTGGCAGATAGCTGATATTATAAGGAGTAACTTAGAGTATTTTTATTTTAGGAAAAGTATCAGGGGAAACCCTGATACTTTTCCTAAAATAAAAGTAGCTTTCTTCCCAAAATAAAATTAGCAATCCAAAAAAATTAAAACCCTAACTTACACGCTGGCAAAGTCGCAGGGAACAGGTAGTTCTTTCTATCTATAAAAAAAGCCGAGCAGTCGCATCACGGTATCATCAAGGTACATAAGAAGCCATAAATTATACCCTTATAATACCGATCGCTTTTTTATCATAATAATAATGTAAAATAAATATTGTAAAACAAGTACGCATTACGGTATCATCAAGGTTTATAAGAAGTCATAAATACCCTGATAATTCCGTAGTCATAACTGCTCGTTTTCTGTTAGCGTAATAATAATGTAAAATAAATGTTGTGAAACAAGTAAAAGTATTTATCTAGATCACAAAAATGAGGCTGCAGTTTTATCAAGAGGCAATAATCACAAAATAAATTTTATTATATTCTTTTCTTTGTGCATATTAAATTGGAAACTGAATCCAATGAGCTGAAATAGTTACGAAACAGCCACCTTTTACCTTTCCAGCTTTAAATCGTCAAAGTACACAATGTAAATTTGACGATTTTAGGTTTAAAAAAATATAGGTTTGGTTCTCAGATGCCAAACTCTTTGCACTACTCTTATTGTAGGAACTACTACTCGTACAATAGTAACATTACAACAAGGTACCCTTAGTGCTTTAGGAGTATCATCACAAGTTATTATTTCGATGAATTCAATATTATTTAAAAATAAATTTGGAATTCGACACATGACAAATTTAAACGACGATACACAGTACATCACAATAAATCATAAAATCGTGAGTCGATAAATTGTTTATATTCTACCTTATCACAAGACTGAATTATTAAAAAAATGAAACCAAATGGGAAAGAAACGAATTAACGTGATAAATAAATAAACAAATATTTGTAGGTTTGAATAAAACTACTTTTACGAGCTTTGCAGTACCCGTGGTCGCGGGGCACTATGGGTGCTGCGAGGCAACCGAAACGTCGGGAATTAAAAATAAGTATAACGTGAAAAAAAAGGGGAATGAAAGTGAACGCAAATAAGACGAAAATGATGATTTTTGAAAGAGAGGAAAGCAAAACGGTATGTGAAATAAGAATAGAAGGAGAGTTAATTGAGCAAGTGGATGAGTTTGTGTATTTGGGATGTGTATTTAGCAGGGATGGGAGATATGATAAGGATATAGAACGACGAGTAAATGCAGGGAATAGAGTGAATGGGGCACTACACTCTATTGTGAAGAACCAGAATGTATAAAAAAGGCAAGTATGGTAATTCATAATGCTGTGTTAGTCCCTAGTAGTGAAAGCTGGGTGTGGCAGAAGAAGCACGAAAGTAGAATAAATGCTGTAGAAATGCGGTCTTTAAGGAGTATGCTAGGGTTGAATCTGAATGGCAGGATGAGAAATTGCATGATAAGAGATAAATGTGGTATGCAAGATGATGTTGTGACCAGGATTAAGAAAGGAATGCTTCGGTGGTTTGGTCATGTAGAAAGAATGAATGAGGAAAGAGTGACAAAACAAATTTATATGGCAAATGTGAACGGCAGAGTCGGGAAGGGACGCCCTAGAAAAAAGTTTATCGACCAAATTGGCGATATTTTGAAAATGGGCCACGTTAAAAGTACCCTTAACCGACGAGCATGTATGCGTAGATATATGGATGTAAAGGAGGCGAAAGAGGTATATCAGGATCGTGTCAAATGGAAGTCCGTGGTCTCTGCCTACCCCTCTGGGTGACAGGCATGAGTGTTTATGCTATTATGAAAAATCCGTAGCGTCCGTCCCGGAGCGTCGGAAGTCTGCTTCTGTGAACACGTACAGGATCGCCCTCATCACTACATCAGATTTGATAGACCACAAATCCTCGCTAAAGAACACCGACTCCTTCCAAGAATGATTCGCGAGGCTATTGAAATCAAAAAACATCCTAATTTCAATAGAGAAGATGGCTGGGTGCTACCATCTGCTTGGGATCCTATAATAAATAAAATTAAATCCCAACCCAAGCATACAACTGCAAGACTTCAAGATACCATAAGTTCATACAGTGTAGATCGGAACAAAAGTTAAATTTTAATCTATGGTAACCGCGGTTAACTATGACATCTGGACGTTGAACATCTCAGTCCCGCCCGTGACCATGAGTGCTGTAAAGCGTTCGAAACGTCGGGTATTTAAAAAGTTAAATATACGCGATAAATTCCGTAAAAACTAGTATTATTTCAATGTGTAGTGTTCGCGTAAATATAAGAAATCATTAAATTTCGGCAAATTTTTACTATAGGACGTGAGAGTAATATCATAGTACTATTATTTATTCTGTGGTAAAATAGTCATCCGGTTAAAACGGTCACTTTCTTATAACTCATAACAGCCTTGTTTGCACAGATGATTCTGTGATACGATAGCTCTTCATCAGTCAATCAAATAATAAAGGGCCAAAAGAGCGCTATCAAAATTTTGAGTAAAATTTTTAATTTTTTTTTTTGGTTTTATAAGGCGGCAAAGCTTAAGGTGACGATATTACCCTCACGTACTTACTATTTATTAAATTTTTTATAAAATACAAGGATATATATATAATTTAATCAAAAGTAAAACGTGTAAAAAAAAACACGAGGATGCTGTGTCTCATAGCTATGTACATCTATCCTCGATAAAGAATAAAAATGCAGATGTGTTGTCACCCCTAATGATGAAATGCCTTATTTCCAATAAAAGGGATCTCCAGTTCTCTACACTCACCACACAAAATACAGCAGCATAGCTCTGCCACGTATAAATTTAGTATGAGTAGATTAAATGAGTGAAAAAGATCTATCTCCCGATCTTGATCTCGTTAGTACTACTATTCTTATAAAATTAAATACCCTTGAAGCGACAGGGAAGAGAATTCACCATCCCCAAATGAGAATAAACTCGAGATGATGGCGAAAGTGAGTAAGAGACTTACCTAAGATATACGCGCAAGTAAAGATACCAGATCCAAACGTAGCTTCAGCCCACTCAGAAATAAGGAAGCCAATGTAAGTATCAGCCCAGTAGCGAACGGTGCCAAGCCAGGCGGTATTGACTGCGCTGATGGCGAGTGCCATGCGTCGTCCCCATCGGTCTGACACAAATCCGGTGATGGGTAGTGCTGTCAAAACACCCATGGTCCTCACCGAACCGATCAATGTACGTCGCCATTCATCACACGCTAAGCCATACTGTTGATCATAATACATGAGAACACTTTAAATGTTAAAAAAGTTGACATTATATTTCGTTTATTTAAAGTTCGTTTTTGAATATTTTGTGATTACATAGAATACCCACAGCGCACGGTATGTGTATAAGTGTGTATATCTTAAATAGTATAATTAATATTTATACTATTTAAGATACGCGTTTATACCTAGGGATTGATTATTTAAAGTCAAGAATGTGTTAAATGTTAGTATTTATCGATTCTTACAAATTACAATAACACAACCTAATCATTGTCGCATTTTTTGGGGAAATAAGTTCAGCAGTTTACTTTTCATAGGCTATAATTATGATGATGATGAAGATGAACCCTTAAATTATCATATGTTAGAAGTCCAGCCAGGATTCGCAGGCAACAGATAGACCAATAATATAATGAGTAACACACTTGTTAGTACTTTATAAAGCAAACAAAATAAATGATAAAAATCTAAGCTTCAAGCACTACAAAGAAAGCGCAATGGAGCATATTTCTTATAAAATTTGGTAGATAATAGTGTGCTACAGACCGAACCGACATTATTTCCTATAGTCACCTCTTACGACACCCACGGGACAAAATGGGGTGATGAAATCTTTTAAGCCACACCTGATATACATAACGGTGGACTAACTCATCAGCTAACCCTTCTGCTTCGGCTGCTTGCCTTTCGTTACAAACACATCCTTATATTTCATCCGCGAGCCTTGCAGGGTAGAACTCAGGTACTGAGTCAAGGGTTAAGGGCTTAAGGTCAGAGGAAAATTAAACAGTAATATATAGAGTAATATAAAGATACTTTGTATTGTTTGCTCCAGAGTGAATTTACTATGGCGGTCAGTTACAACGAAAACTAACCATCTGCGCAGATTAATAGGGCCCTAGTATATGCGCAAGCACATTTGCACTCTTTATTCCCTAGTCCGATGGAACCGCAGGGAGATCAGGCTCAGGACCAACGGCTTTACGTTCTTTCAAAGGTACGGGGGTGAAACATCGACAGTTTCCTGACTCCGGGCTGCGACTGAGAATTTCTTGACAGAAACATACCATAATTGATTTCGGTCCGAACCGGAATTCAAACTCCGCTTTTTTCAAACCGCGCTTACAACAAAACATATATTTAACAAACACAGTAAAAAATAATAAAATAAAATCAATATATAAAGAGCCGTGGTAGCTCAGTGGTTAACGCTCGCTGTAAATATAACAGAACGCGAGTAACCCGGGTTCGATCCCCGCCGGCACCAATGAAATTGTTAATTGCAATTTTAAGTGCTGATTTACCACGTGCTCGGCGGTGAAGGAAAACATCGTGAGGAAACCTGTAAGTCTGAGGAATGAGAAAAAAAATATTTCGAAGACATGTGAAGTTCGTCAACACGCATTTGGGCAGCGCGGCGGACACTTCCTTGCCCTAAACCCTCTCAGAAATGAGGGGAGGCCTGAGCCCAGCAGTGGGACGTATATAGGCTGTAACTTTACTTTAACTTTAATATAATAAGTGCGCCTCCGGGTGTACCTACACTATCTTAGCGAACACACTATACGTCACATTACCTGTGTGACTTAGTTCCGCTATGCGTTAAATTTTTAGAATTAGAATAGAACAGCGGTTGCGGCGTGCCGCAAGGAAGCCTCATTTCATTGTTAATCTATCAAGAGAATTGTGATGGTTTCAAATTTGAATAATAACTTATTTTTACACTTGCGCAGATTATCATGGTGCGACTACAGTGTCACATTCAGAGCTCTACATCAATATCTAGGACTGAGCGCTGAACTAGTCAATCCGGTAAGTATTTAGGATTGTTAATCTTTCCTATACAGGTATAAAGGACAATGGCGAACTCCCAAACAAATTTTATGTGACTTTTTTCTTGAGTCTACAAATGCAAAAAATATGTAAAAATATAGAGTTTAAAGTCCTGAACATTTTTTTCTTCGGTCCGGTGATGCCACGTTTAAAGGAAAAACACGGTATCATGTTATTAACGGTGGTGTGAATTTGTAGTGACGGGGATAGTGCACGCAATTGAAGGAGGTGCTCCTCAAACTAGGCAATATATATCATTTATTCAATTACGCGGATCTTAGCTAAATAACATTTAACATCTTTATTAAAATGGATTTCCGCAAAGTAATAACTCATTTAATAAATAATATCTACAAGGTATTCTAGATAATATATATCATAATATATAGATAGAAAGTGCTAAGAAGAAAGAAGGCAAAAAGGAACAAATGAGAAAAAACTTAAGGAAAATTATAGTTTATATTTTTTCTTAAATTTCTTATTATTTGTTTCAGAGATTAGTGTAAAAAGCTAGTGAAGTGCATAACAGATGAAAAAGACTTTATAATATTGTGACAATTAATTATAGTAGTGACGATTCAGAACACGATCCCGATTTCCGTCCTAGTAACGAAGATGATCAAGATACCAGTGGATCCACCAGCCACATCAAGGAGAATGTCAACCTTTTCATAAGTTCATTTGCCTGCATTACCAAACATACAGAGACAAAGAACTCCATTGACGGTAATGGCACCATCAAACATCAATTGAGCCCTGAGAAAGACTCATAGATACTACCGATCCGGAAGAACTGCTCCCATTGATAACAACTGTGGAATAAGTTTAAGCGTTGTGTTTTTTACACCACACATGTAATATACATCAATATAAATATGAGTCGTAGTCGAGAAGAGAGGGTAAACTTACGTCATAAACAACAGTGTCTGTATTCTGATAGACAAATTCTTCGCAATCAACAGTCTCGTATCTATTGAATAGGTTTGCAGGACAGGTCTCCTGGCGAAATCTAGCAGAAACGTTGGCGTATCGTTGGCATCCGTCGAATGAGGTAGCACTTGTACCAGGTACGGCGTTCAATATCCAGGGCGGGGCAAACTCTACACTGCCTTCGTTGTCTTCGCATTCGGGAATCAAGCATCTGAATAGAAAAATCAATCTCATCTCACCATCATTTATACGTAGTAGACACACGATGCAGCTATATTTTGGTTGTAGCACGAATGTTAAACGAACTGGCTGGTCCAGGGTCGGAAAACGTTCTCACTGAGTATCAGCGTGAAATAGCAGCCTAATGCTGATGTGTTTCGTAGATGAGTGTAGAGAACCGGAGACCCTATTTACTTGGAAATAAGATTCCATCTAAGTCCCTAGGGGTGACAACGCAGCATTTTGATGGTTAATCGAGGCTAGATGTAGATCTCTGTGAACCATATCATCCACTTAACATCAAGTGAACTCTGTGCTCGTTTGTCACCGTATTAGATTATATATATATATATATATATATATATATATATATATATATATATATATATATATATATATATATATATATATATATATATTATTTAAAATGATCTAATAATTTTAAATAATTGTTTGAAATACGTTTTTTGGTGTCGATTGTAGGTACTAACTAGTAATTTAAGATTGATTTTTTTAATGCAATAACAAAAATCAAAAATAGACATTGGTGCATTTCGATGCAGCCTATAACAACCTTTTACTTGGTGATACTTACCAGGTCGAACTTTTAATAAAGAATGTAAGGAAGGAAAATAAGTACTTTGTCTCTTGTGCCTTTGAAAATCTGACTCGTTACAAAAACTTCCTAAAGGCTATACAGATGAACAAGAAAGAACCTTTATTTAGACAAATACCTCAAACAACAATATAAAAACTTAAACAATTGTTGAGGTATATATCCACGTTTTTTCATATTCATATGTTCAAAGTTAAAAATCTCTAGCTTTTCAGGAAGTTAGTGATAATGATAAATCTTTATTTGCATAAAACATGGTAGTACAGAAAAAAGTTCTTACATTTGTAAATCTATCGATAAGCAAATATTTTGTCATCCTATCAAATTACATAATGAATATCAATTAAATAAATGTAAATTACAATAAATTAAATTAATATAACTCATAAAAATACAGATTGTCAGCATTCGAAAATAAGTTGGCAAGAACCATTGTGTTATACAAAACGTGTAATATATAAATGAATGTCAAGAACCATAAATAAATTAAGAAAAATTACACATATGGAACAATGTCGAAAATCATAACTACCCACAATGTCAAACTTATATCATACTGGTTCAGTTTTCAGTTTCAGTTTAAAATCAGTTACTAAATCCGACTCGAACAGACATACCTGATAACAAGTTAATAAAAAAGTAAGAATATTAAGTTTTTACCTATGAAATTGCCCCTTTTCATGAAATAAGTTAACGTATTTTTTTCTATATTTTTTATTTATATTAATCAAAGCATTCACCCATGCCATTGATGCATCGTTACCAACACAGTGGCAGTTTATTAATGCCCTTCTTGAAGAAATCAGCTGAACCGGAGGCAACAAATTCTTCAAAGGCATTTTGGGTCTTTAGGCCACCCGGGTATTAAATTTTTTCCCGCCTAATAATTATCCAAACCACAGCTCCTGTAACTTGTATATCGTCTGTTGTGCAGTTTAAGGTCGTGCGTTTTCGTGCAAGAACAGCGGGAACGAGCGATTGACCAAAGCTGGTTGGAGACGTGCGAACTTCTCCATCATTGTGTTTAGTTCAGCTCAGTGCTTGTCTGGTAGTGCAAGGCACGACTTGACGAGTACTTGCTACTTGCGCTGCCGATCATTGAGTTCATGGGGCACTCATTCGTCAGACTTTTTTACACTGCCTTTTTAAACTTACATTTTTATGCTAACTCGAAAGCCGCTAGTAATTCAGCCGTAGGTTGAGTGTCTTTAGCTTCCACAATCGCCTTTAATTCGTCATTGTCGAACAAAGTTTTTGGACGACCACAGATTCAGGTTCATTTTTCAGGTCGAAATTTACAGAACGGAAGCGGGCTAATCAATAACAGGTGGTGCGTTCGTTTGTAGTATTTGCTCCTTAAATGTGGTTGATGTTGCGTTCCGCTTGTGCCGCGTTTTATTTCTTGTTTTATGCAATTTAATTATTACTCGAATTTTTAAATTATCCATGATGAGTAAAAAGTTTCAAATGCGATGAAAACATAATGCTAATCAATAAACAAATGTCTAATTTTGAAATACGAATTCCATGTTTAATAGCAAAATTTATCTGAAAGTAAAATAATTCTAAGCCTAACAAAAATAATTTTGATTTGAAATGGGCAGTACTGCAGAACGGTAATTTCATAGTTAAAAACCTATTAAAGCACGCAGATTTGACAAGTTTTGAATTTCTACGTAAAAGGCATACAAATAAGGACATCACTCATCTTGTACGACGTAACGAGGGATATAAAGTTATAACTTCTGTCTTTACTTTTCAAAACCTAGCAAAAAGCAAAGTATTATGTTTGAAGCGTAATTATCTGACTCACGTTAATAAAATCATAAATATTACAAAAAAAAATTGCCTTAATTGAGAATTCGAGCAGATTTTACTAAAATACCTGGTATTTATACGGGCCGTAGTAAACACATATTCCGTGGCAGCCCAGGCAGCAAATATAACCACGACAACAGACAGCAGCCATGTTCTGAACTGGTACCAACCGAACTGTCCGATCTCCTCCACTAAGATTGTGTCCAAATCTATCTTATGAACAGGTGTCTTCCCATCCTCCACCTTGCTCGATCTAGGTGATTTATGCGTTATTACCATCTTTTACTCGACTAAACTGGTTGGCTTTTCTATTGGTACTAAATTGAAACAGTGTGCATTAAAATTTATCATAACCCTATAAATTTATTTTAGATAACAAAAATTACTTCATCGATACGCATGATGACTGGTTGTTTTGACTAGACATAGTAAATAAAATTGTTAAGAATATGATAATATTAAGGCAAAAAAGGGACCGTTAAACGTAAACAAACATTGAACGATGGAGTAGCATTGTCGGCTCAAGAAAGTGCGACTGAATTTGCCAAATACTTCTACTCAGTGTACAACAGCGAGCCGGCTCGTCTGAATGTAGACGAAGCGGTGGTGGCGGGTGGTGCGGGTAACGCGCGCGTGCACGTGCCGCAGCTGCAGCTCGGTGAAGTGCGCGTGGCGCTCGCCCTACTCAAGCCGAAGCGCTCGGCGGGCCCGGACGGTATACCAGCGTATGTGATGGAAGACTGCCGCTCAGTGCTGGCAGAACCGTTATTACATATCTTCAACTTGTGCCTGAAGAATTCATGTTTTCCAGAAAGTTGGAAAATCACGCGTGTTATTCCAATACCTACGGGGGGGGGGGTTAAAAAACCTACAGTTGAATCCTTCAGACCAGTGGCGATTCTCTCAGCACCTGCGAAGGTGTTTGAGGGAGCCATTCAGCAAAGTGTACAGGAACAAGTTGTACCGCAGTTATCGGACGCCCAGTACGGCTTCCGGCTAGAGAGGAGCACAACTAGTAACCTCTTAAATGCCATGATGTATTTGGTACCTCATGTTGATGCAGGGTTGCAGGTAGATGCCGCCTACTTTAATTTTAGAAAGGCGTTTGACTTGGTAGATAACGATATCGTACTCTCAAAGATGACGAAAGCTGACTGTACTCTAACTGCTTCATTTTTTTGCAAGTTACATGAGAGATAGAAAACAGTATGTGGAGTATGGTAGGTACCGGTCGGAGCCTTATGTTACTAGGTCTGGTGTGAGCCAATGCAGTAATTTAGGGCCGTTAGAGTTCAACATAATGATTAATTATTCACCCGAAGTAGTAAGAGAGGCTAAATGTCTATTATTTGCAGACGACCTAAAGTAGCTTTTAGCCAACAAGAGTGAGGATGATTGTCGCCACCTTCAGCAAGATATCGACCAAGTAGTTGAATGGAGCCACAAAAATAAACTGCAGTTTAATATTTCAAAATGCTCTATTCTATCATTTAGTCGTGCAAGGGCACCACTCCATTACAACTATAAGGTGAATGGCGAGCTAATGAAGAGGGAGGAATCAGTCCGGGATCTTGGGGTCCAGATAGGTGTCAAATTGACATTCCGGGAGCACATCATGAATATATAAGTTTATCATTCGCAGAGCAGTAAAATGTACCAACATTAAAGCAATCTCAGTGCTGTATGATGCTCTAATAAGGAGTCAGCTGGAGTGTAACTCGGCAATATGGGCTTCACATGAAAATAAATAGAGTCTTATGCTGGAGCGTATTCAGAATAAATTCACGCGATTTATATATCATAGGCTTTATCGGGTTTATCCATCCTATCCCCTGGATGTATCCAACCTTGTTTGTTTTAGGTATGGTTGGATACAACAAGTTGGAAACTAGACGAGATCTAGCGCTGGTAACCTACATTTTAAGAGTGTTCCGTGGTTACATCAGCAACCCGGGTGTGCTGCAGTGGATAGGCTTTCATGTGCTTGATAGGTATGTACGACGGCGACGGCGGCCGAGCTTGTTCGCGATATCACGCGGCAGGACTAAACTGGTTCGCAACACCCCCCCTCACGGGAACGATACACATACTAAATTTGGTAGCTGAGAAGTTGAACTTATTTTCGTGTTCACGGAGTGAATTCGCAAAAGTGACATTATTTACAATATTTTATTCATAAATTGTATTATACAATTGATTGTAATGTACTGTCATTTAAATTAATTATTATGTGTTGTTATTTAAATTAATTATTGTGCTGTAATTAGTAATCTTTTACCATTTGAATTGTTACTTTTTAAATTGAGATGTTACATTTATCGATTTAGATTTTCCCTGTAATGGTAGATGTTAGTAAGAAATATAAATAAATAAATAAATGACATGAATACATTTTTTTTGACTAATACGCAAAGCAAAGCGAATGCAAACTAACGTTTATTTTAATATAATATACGACAATACTGTCCGTCAAGCACGTTGTAAACTATTATAAAAGACGTAGTACATCTGTTTACGCTTGCTTTCTGGACTTGATTCGTGCATTTGACCTTGCTAATTATAATATATTATGGAGGAAAATGCATGACTCCAAAGTACCTGGCACTGTTGTGGGTTTGCTGAGATACTGGTACGAGAACCATACAAATAAAGTTAGGTGGTACGACACAACCTCTAGTGGCTATAAACTAGAATGTGGGGTACGTCAGGGAGGGCTGACCTCTCCGGACCTTTTCAATCTTTATGTTAACGGCTTGATCGAGGAGCTTAGGAGTACCAACATTGAATGTCACATTAATGGTGTAGCGTTTAACAACCTTAGCTATGCAGACGATATGGTGATCTTTAGCCCATCGATCAACGGTCTTAGAATGCTTATATTTATCTGCGAAAATAATGCTCGTCAGCATGGATTAAAATATAATAAGTCTAAGACTGAAATGCTTGTCTTTCGTGCTGGAAAGGTTCCGAGGAGAGTACCGCCAGTAAGCATAAATGGTGTGCAGGTTCGGACTGTGAAGAATTTCAGGTACTTGGGTCATATGTTGTCGGAGAACCTGAGTGACGACTTGGATATTGAGCGTGAACGTAGAGCTCTAGCTATACGTTGTAACATGCTGGCGCGTCGCTTTGCCTTGTGATCTGAGGATGTTAAGATTACTCTGTTTAAAGCCTATTATATAAGCTTTTACACCGGACAACTTTGGATAAATTACAGCAAAAAATCCTATAACATCCTCAGAATACAGTATAATGATGGTTTTCGTATTTTTTTGAAACATCCACGGTACTGCAGTGCGTCCACAATGTTCGCAGAGGCTGTTGTCCTAGACTTTTACGCAGTGTTACGTTATAGAACGGCCAGTTCATGGGAACCTGTATGTAACTCAACAAACAAATTAGTTAAGGTCGTTGCTCAGGTGTCTCCTGACAATATATTTTATAAACACTGTCAGGGTATGCATCGGACGCTATGTGTATAATACTTCCAATTCATTGTCTTAGATGCAAAATGTACTTGACGTAAGTGGGTTGATACCTTAATAAAATAAAGCATAACGAAGCTAGATAACAATTACAAAAAGAATATTTCCGTAGAGTAAAATGTATTACTAAATCTAATCTTAACGCTAGAAATCTACTTAAGGCAATGAACTTATACGCAACCCCAGTACTCCTTTATTCATTCGGTATTTAAAAAAGCTTCTCGAGCTGTTTGGAGTAACCTGATAAGTTTAGTTTTACTAATACCTAACAGAGAGGGGATTCTCTCACGGGAGTCCCCTGTTCTTATTTTAATTAAATATGCTCCTAACGCCGGTTTTTGCAATTCACAACTCAATTCTGGGCAAATTTGATTTAAAATATTCAAATATTTTTCTTTATTGAGGCCAGTCCATTACTAAAAGACGTTCTCGTCAAATTCAGTAAGCTTTTTAAAGTTCAAATTATTATTCGTTAAATCTTGACATAGGCTGAGGTTTAACATTGATTTTATTTCTTCCTGTGTGAAATTACTTGAGAATTCATTTTCTTCTAAAAACTGCCAATTGTAAGTAGTTCTGTGTGCAGCACAAATTCTGCAATTTTCTGTGATATATATTTTTGTTGATTGCAAAATTCTCTGTCTTAAAAAATCTGTCACAAGTAGTCTCTCTGGTTTCGTATAAAATGGAACGAAACAATGCCTACTAGAATTTGGTGTATGCTTATAATCATCTGCCAGGCTTATCGAAGGTTTTGGTGTTCTAGGCTGCACTGTCTTCAGAAATTTGCATATATTCTTGTCTCCGTGCCCAGCAATCAACACATAAGAGGGCATGTTCTGATAACTGAATCAGAAAATATTTAAGTAAAGCTAACTTGTCATTAACAACATAATTAAAAACTAAAACTATACGAATGAACCATTGACCATAGACGGCGATAGTCTTTGTGAATTAATATATGACATATCTTAGTATGTATAATAATAGCTCAGTATATTCATCGTCTTAGTGGTTAATATTTCAGCCGCCTTTTCTAAAAAATTAATTATATACCATATTATATTTACTTTAATAAAAACATAGAGAAAAACCTGCACACGTAAGCATTCTCAATACAGATCTTAATGGTGTGTGTAGCTTGCCAAGCTTAAACCTATGCCCGGTAGTGGACAGGCAGTGAACTAGTGATCATACATACAAACAAACTGCTTAACTCAGAACTGTTCAAGTAAAAATAATTATTAGAATGTTTGTACAAAATGTAGAAAACGCCATATTTAATTACCTCAATGGGATAAATCCTTTGTCCCTGCCACTATATCCCTTTCAGGGCCATCATGTAAAATTCGAACGTGCTTTTGAAATAAAGACATTTTATACCACACACAGTCAGCTCCATAATGTTGATATAAAGGTCCTGGATTTTGCTGCCCTACCTCAACATTAGTAGCTCTTTGCACATTTCTACACGCAGCAACCCGGCATGCATAACAGACGAATCCGCCAGAAGGAATCTGTAGGGGATTATAAAGAATATTTTAAATGATTAATTATGTATAAATGCACATTACGGCATTCATTACTTTGTATTTTAATTTCAAACATAGGTTTAATCGCAGGTTGCCTAATTTGAGCTGAGCTTTACACCCATTTTGGGTTGTGTCACGGACGATTAATGTTACTTTAGTATAGTTTTAGTTAGTATTAGTTTTTCTGTAGCACCAGTAATAAATGAATATGTTTTATTTCTTCATTATTTCTTAAAATATTAGGTTTGTAAAATATCTTCAT